AGTAGGTCGTGGCCAATCTACGATTGCCGCAACCTTTTGGGGATCAACTGAAATGCCATCTTTGTTAATGACGTGACCGAGGAAGTGTACACTAGTGATCCAGAATTCGCATTTCTTCAATTTGGCATAAAGTTTGTGATCACGTAATATCTGTAGGACTTTTCGTAAGTGGTGTTCATGATCTTCTGGCGATTTCGAGTATATAAGAATGTCATCAATGAAGACAATGACGAACTCATCAAGAAAGGGTTTGAACACTCGATTCATGAGGTCCATAAAGGCCGCTGGAGCATTGGTGACGCCGAATGGCATGACAAGAAACTCGTAGTGCCCATAACGGGTCCTAAAGGCAGTCTTTTCGATGCTTTCCGTTTTGACTTTTAGTTGATGGTAGCCAGAACGCAAATCAATTTTTGAGAACACTTGGGCGCCTTGCAGTTGATCAAACAAGTCGTCGATTCGTGGCAAGGGGTACCGATTTTTGATGGTGACTTTATTTAGTTCTCGATAGTCAATACATAACCTCATTGTACCATCCTTTTTCTTTACGAACAGCACCGGAGCTCCCCATGGTGAAGTACTTGGTCGGACGAAGCCTTTATTCAGTAATTCTTGGAGTTGAGTTTTTAGTTCTTTCAATTCTGCCATGGACATGCGGTAAGGGGTCTTTGAGATTGGTTGGGTACCAGGTTGAGTTTCAATGGTGAACTCGATTTCTCGATCAACTAGGATGCCAGGCAGGTCTTTAGGAAACACGTCCGGAAATTCTCGAACTACGGGGATCGCATCAAGTGTGGGAGTCTCTTGTTGAGTATCAATCACATAACAGATACAACCACAACAACCCTTTCTTAGCAGTCGTTGGGCTGTTATGAAAGATATAATACAGGGAGGGGGAGAGGCCCTAGTTCCTTCGAAGACAAGCTCGAGTTGGTTTGGTGACCTGAGGAACACCTTTTTGGCTTTACAATCGATAGAGGCACGATTAGCAGCTAGCCAATCCATTCCTAAAATTACATCAAAGGTACTAATGCCAAGGGGTATCAAGTCTACGTGTAAGGTTTCACCTTTTAAGGATACAGTGCAAGATTTGTACACATCAGTACTAAGGGTGGAATTTCCAGAGGGAAAAGACACAGATAGTATGTATCCTAAGGGTTCGGGTATTGGCGTTAACTTGGTAGCAAAGTGTGGTGTAACAAAAGAATGGGTTGAACCAGAGTCAAAGAGAACATGGGCTAAGTGACCACAAATAGAGAGTGTACCTGACACAACATTTTCAGTAACTTCTGGGTTTCCAGGCACCAGGGCAAAAGCTCTTCCTTGGCGTTTTTGGTCTTTTCTCGCTCCTTCAGGTACTGCGGGTTTTCGGACTGGTTCAAAGGGGCGGAAACGAGCTTTGGACAATTTCTCAATAAATGACCAACTTGGCCGCACCTAAAACATGCTCTCGTATCCTGGCGGCATGGTCCCCAATGAGTTCTTCCACAGGTAGAGCAAGCTGGAATAACGCCACCTTTAAGGTCTGTAGGACCTTGATTGCTCGGACCGATTGAACTGGTTGTGCTTGTATTTATTCTTTTGGGAGGTGCTACATTGGGTCTTCTGTTATCTCTTTCCCAAAATCGTTTCCTCTGACTTGGCTCTCTAGATCGCAAAGCTTTAATTCCTTTTTCCGCAATGTACGCTCGATCTACCACCGCCGCGTAGGTTGGTAGTTTTAGAACCTCCAGTCTGTCCTTAATTTCAGGATCCAACCCTGCTTCAAATTTCCTGGCCTTTCGGGCTTCGGTGGGAATGACATATGTCGCGAACCGTGCCAGCTGTGTGAACTTACTTTCATATTCGGCCACTGTCATGGTTCCTTGCCTTAGATGTATGAATTCTGACGCTTTTTGTTCCCGTAGTGAATCTGGAAAGTACTTTTCATAGAATACTTCTAAAAACCTCGCCCAAGTCCCAATATCTTCCTTTTCCAAGGTAAGGAGCCACCATTCCTGCGCATCGTCTTTGAAGGTGAAAGTGGCAAAAGTCACCTTCTGTCTTTCTGTGCAAGGTAGTGCACGGAAGATTTTCTCCATGTCCCTGACCCAAGCCTCTGCTACTGGTGGGTTTGGACTGCCGATAAACGTGGTGGGTTTCAGATCTTGAAAATGTTTGATCGTAGTCGATCCTTCTTGTCTTTCTACTGTCCCATTGGTTATGCTGTTTTGCAAGGCCTGTAAAAAGTTGGTGACTGCCCTTTCCATGATCTGTTCCGTTGGGATGGTACCACTGACTGATGATCCGTTTTCGTTTCCTTCGTTGGCCATTACTACAAGGTAGAATGATGTAAGTGTGATATCATATTGAAACAATTTTTGATATAACGTCATATGTAACATATTAGTTCTATTGTTACCACATCTGTATATATCATATTAATTTTGCTATAATATCACCACCGTATCATCCTGTTAACATTACCACATATACATCACATTAATACTAGATAATATAATAACCTTATCATCATGTTAACATTACCACATATACATCACATTAATACCAGATACATCATTATTACCATATATAAGGTGTCAGTCTGGCGGTCACAATCAATGTCTAATCTTACTAATACAAAAGGATTAGACTACTCATGGTCAGCTCACAAAAAGGGTCTTCCGGTCAGATATCTAAAATGATCCATTAGGCCATCAGGGAAACTGGCCTCGGAAAACTGGTCCATGAAACAACTCCGGAAACTCACTTTGCATGCTGGACTCAAACTCCCACCCACTAAGCTCAACTCCGAAGCAGCTCCATACTATCTGAACCACGTAAACAGGAGCACCGTGATCATAACCCCAGAATTCCCGTCCAGTAATCCGTATCGGTGTCTCCAGGTATGATGCACCGTCGGTAAAGTCCACAGCTGGGATATGGACAATGTGCTGGGGAGGTGGTGTTGTGGTGCGAAGGTGGCTACTAGGATATGCAGGTCCCCTCCTCTCTGCAAAGCCTACGGGTAGAGGTGCGACCAGAAAATGTGGTGGTTCTATATCTGGAGCAAGACCAACAACGTGGGTTGGTCCTATGTACCTTTCGCGGGTGCTATCTCGGCTAAGTCTCCAGAATAATAAGTCCTCATCAGGGTCAGCCTGTAAGTAAACGGATCTTTCCATAAGATGGTCAAGTGTTGGATGGGCTTGCCTGACCAGACTCTCTGAGTCACCCCAGCCCTCTAACTGGTTTGGGAGGAGATAAGCTTCTGGGGGCTCGTACCAGAATAGCTCCAATAGGTTTGCCATGTCCTACAACACAAGAAAACTTAGCCTAGACATATATATAACATGACTTATATGCATTAGACATATAATAATGCAAGTTTAATACATTTTTTTTTTTCAACACGGATTTGTGCCATCACTAACTTTAAGGATGTAGGTTGATGCAAACTAAAGGATGCGGAATGAGAATTCTGTACCCATTGTGATTGCTTGACTTTTCTCTTTCTGACTACTAGCTGAAGTAACGCTAACACTAGCTGTCTTTGGACCAAATCACTAATCTTACAAAGCCTACCGATGTGAGTCTAAAGAACTTAGGAGATGTCATGTTTCTTGGAAACTATGATGACAAGACTGCCTAGCAAAAAAATAAAGAAAATAAAATCAAAAGAAAAACCCCGATCAAACGATACCTAGGCCAAATCTTACTATTCACACAAGATCATTGCAGAAACCCCCCCTACTGTGGCAGAATCACTGTACCCCACTAAAAATGTTGTACTCAAACCCCACAACTGGCATGCCTGAACCACTATTCTGAAGTCAAGAACCCCTACATTGATCCAAGTATATTATAGCACATAACAAACAAAGGGAACAAACAACCCTATAGTGTGTTCGAGTTACCCTATCCTAGTTTGGAATAGATCTATGGTTTCTCTATTCAAACAAAGGCATTACATCATCCTGAAAATTGGAAAGTATCATGTCCTAAGTTAGAAGGCAATATAGCTCACTATATACAATGGGTAGGATTGGTCAAAATGGGTTCCTTAGCAAGATTCACTGATATACCTCTAATACCTTCTACCGAGCAGTGAAAGGAAAATCAAGTGATACATTGGGAATCCAGATCTAAGGATTGTGTTCCTACTATGACAGAGCCCATGACCGACAAGTCGTCCAGGATATCAGGTAGCAAACACAAGGATTTAAAGTGCATCAATACAAATGCAATGCAATGAACATAAATAAATCTCATATATAGAATTCTCGAGTCAAGTTCTCTTAGTCTTCTTAACAAAGGCCCTATTTGGTATAGCTATTAAAACAAATTATAGATTATAACTTAACAGATTATAGATTATGACTTTAATCAGAAACTGTTAATCTATTTGGTGTAGTTGTTGGATTATAGATTTAAGTTGCTGAGTAGTGTTTGTTAAATAAGCTGTGAAGTAACTTTTTCAATTAACTTTTATTTTTTGTTATTCACTACTTGTCTGCATTTCTCATAAAAAATAATAATAATAATCTATATTCCATTTGAGTCTTTTTTTTTTATTTTTTTAAAAAATGAAAATAAAAAAATCTAAGAGTATAACCGCAAATTAATATGTCCACAGCAAAAGCTAATAATCAGAAGCAAGGGTTGAGTAACTTCTCAGAATCAGTTTTTTTGAATTAAAATAAGTTGTTGGAATCAGAAACGGTTTGAAATAAGTTTAACCAAATAGTCCAAAATAACTTTTCCAAAGTTAGAAGCTATAAATTGGCTTGAAAAAATCCAAACAAACACCCTCAATATGGTATATGAGAGAGAAAAATCACTTCTTTAGCCCTTTTTATATATATATATATATATTCAGGGGTAAGAAACATTTGAAGTATAGTCAAGCCACCTAACTAGGAAAAGTATACAAGGGTATCCTTTGTTCTTTAAACAAGAGAGGAGAAGATATTGGTTCTGCACTACTGGAAGCAATTAAGGAGTCAAGAATTTCGGTTATCATGTTCTCAGAAAATTATGCAGCATCGAGTTGGTGCCTTGATGAACTTGTGAAGATCATGGAATGCAGGAAAACATTTCAACAGACTGTTCTGCCTATTTTTTATGACATTGTCCCATTCGACGTGCAGGCGCAAAATGGGAGTTTTACAGAAGCATTTGCGAAGCACGAAGAGCGTTTTAAAGAGGGTTCAGATGGAAAGGTGAAGAAGTGGAGGGCAGCCCTTACTGAGGCTGCTAATTTGTCTGGATAGGATTTGAAAAATGTGGACAACGGGTATTTTCCCTCAATCCTCTTAATGTTTGCATGAAAATAACCCAAAACAACACAAGTTAAGAACAATTTTATTTGGAAGTATAAGTAGAATCTTAATTATTGTTACAACATTTATATTGGAATCTTCTACGTTATTCATAAAATAGTTCATAACTAGTTTATCCATCAAATTTCAAATGCCATAGCACAAATGTGTTAATTTTCCTAAAGATTTGACTTATTAGATGGTTCATTGTTATGCTTGCCTCCTATTATTACATATCAATAGGAGAAAACCTGAATTTGAGTTACTTCAAATACGCCAAAAGAAATAAAGTTCTCGGTTTGACATCTAATTATATTTTTTTTCCAAACTTTTGTCTTTGGTATTCTCCCCCCCCCCCACCAAAAAAAAAAAAATTGTGTCAAATTTTTTTTTTTTTTTCTTTTTTTTTTTTTTTTTTTTTTTTTTTTTTTGTTTTTTATTTTTTGGATTTGTCTAGTGTAGAAGGATCTAAAAATTGAAAAAAAAAGTCACTAAAAAAAAAAAAAAAGGCCCGAATTTTTTTTCTGACTTTGGTGGATTTTTTCTCCAATTTTTTTAATTTTTTACTTTTTTTGTCCATCTAGTCGAGTAGAATCTAAAAATGTAATTTAAAAAAAATAATAAAAAATTACTAAGGACAAAAAAAAGTCAATCCCAAACAACAAACAATGAACAATGTACTAATTTTATTTTGCATAACTTTTTAGATAATCCAAAAGAAAGGAAGTTTAAATAAGAGTGAACTTTTGACTAATTTTAAAATTACTGTTGTGCATGCCACTGATAATAACTGGAAGCATATATCTATACAACTAATCTCTATTATCTTGATTTCTAGGCTAGATTTCCTGATCATTTGAGATAATTTTTGTGCCTAAATTAGCAAGATTCATTCTATAGTCATGGGTCTTTAGAATTTACTAAATTCTTATTTTTATTTTTGTAATTATGTTCAAATTTGCAGAGATGAAGCAAAGTTAATTGAGAAAATTGTTGAGGAGGTTGGAAATATATTAGATCTTGAACATCTAAGTGTTGCAAACCACCCAATTGGACTAGATGATCGTGTGCAAGAACTCAGTACGTTGTTGGGCATGGAGTCCAATAATAATGATGTTTGCATTGTTGTAGTATGGGGGATTAGTGGAATAGGCAAGACAACAATAGCTAAAAAGTTGAATAATCTCATCCACCGTAAATTTGATGGTAGTAGTTTTCTTGCAGATGTTAGAGAAACTTGGAAGCTACCAAATGGTCTGTCTGTTTTACAACAACATTTTCTTTTTGATATTTTAAAAGATGAAACTCATCACATCAGAAATCCTCACCAAGGAAAGGAGGTCATAAAACGGAGAGCTTTGTGTCGAAAAGTGCTTCTTGTTTTGGATGACGTCGATGATGTCCAATAACTGACAGGATTAACCATAGATCGAGATTATTTTGGTTCTGGAAGTAAAATCGTCATAACAACAAGAGATTTGTCTTCGCTAAATATTGAAGTGGACAAGATATATACACCAAAGGAATTAGATAAGGACAAATCTCCTCAACTCTTTAGTTGGCATGCCTTTAGGGAAGACCATCCCAAAGAAAACTATGTGGAGCTTTCAAATCAAACAGTGCACTATGCTAGAGGGCTTCCATTAGCTCTCGAAATTTTGGGTTCCTTTTTGTTTCCCATCAGAAGCATACCAGAATGGGAAAGTGCAATAGAGAAATTAAAAAAAATCCCACATAACGGTATTCAAGCAAAACTTAAGATAAGTTTTGATTCACTAAGTAATGAAGTGCAGGATTTATTCCTAGATATAGCATGTTTCTTTGCTGGAATGAATCGAGATTTTACAATCAAAATATTAAAAGGCTGTAAGTTATACCCAGAAATTGGGTTTAAGATTCTAGTCAATCGGTGTCTTATAAAATATGGGCCCTATAATGAACTTGTGATGCATGATATGCTTAGAGACATTGGTAGAGAAATTGTCAAAACAAAATCTAATGATGAACTAGAGAGGCGTAGTAGATTGTGGTATCAAGAGGATGTCCTTGAAGTGTTGAGATATGGCACGGTGAGAGTCATATACATGAACTTCCACTTAATATTTGATAGTTAATTCCTACGAAACTTTCATATGCATATGCACATTCTTAATTCTCACAACTAATTGACATGAATATACTTGACCTTATGTTCTGTTTTCTCACCAAGATAAAAATTTTCCTTGTGTTATGCAATGGGTTTTCTTAACAGGGTACTGAAGCAGTTAAAGGCCTCTTCCTAAACTTTCCCAAGAAAAAAGAAGTCCAAGTGCATGCAAAGGCATTTGAAAAGATGAACAGACTTTGGGTGCTACATCTCAATAATGTTCACCTAAGTGTAGGTCATAAATATATTTTTAGAAGGCTATTATGCCTAAGTTGGAATGGCTTCCCTCTGGAATGTGTTGCCATCGAACTTATATAAGGAGAAGTTAGTTGTTCTTGACTTGCGTTATAGTAGACTATTGAAACAAGTTTGGAAATGAACTAAGGTATAACATTATTTCTCTCTTTCATGCATGAATGATATTGTACTTCATGTGAAAAATAATTTTTTTTTCTCATTGTGTTTTTTGATAGATTCTTAACAAACTGAAATTCCTCTATGTAAGCCATTGTTATTATTGAACCAAAACACTTGACTTCTCTAGGCTCAACAGTCTTGAGGAATTGTTGCTTAATGACTACATAAGGTTGGTAGAGGTTGATGAATCTATTGGATGTCTCGACAAACTTGTTGTCCTAGATATGACCAATTGTAGAAAATTAGAGCAGCTTTCCTCAAGCATTTCGATGTTGAAATCTCTTGAATACCTTGATCTTTCTGGTTGCTCCAAACTAAGAAAATTAGATGCATTTAAAAGATCACCACTTAAATCATTGTACACAACCCTCTCATCTTGGGCATTGCAAACAAAGAACACAAGTTCCATTGGTTTGCCACTACAAGGCTCAAGTTGTTTGAAGAAATTGAAGCTGGCATATTGCAATCTGTCACATTTGCCCATTGAAATTGGGAGCCTGATCTCATTGACACATGTGGATCTTACAGGAAATAATTTATGTACCTTACTGGATAGTATCTGTAACCTTACTTGCTTGCAAGAATTGAAAATGGTAGGCTGCAATTTATCAAATCTGCCTAGTGAAATGGAGAGGTTGATCTCATTAATATATTTGGATATTGGAGGAAATAATTTGTGTACCTTACCAAATAGTATCTATAACCTTACTTGCCTGCAGAGATTGGAGATGGCAGGTTGCAATATATGCCTAGTGAAATTGGAAGGTTGATCACATTAACACATTGTAATCTTAAAGGAAACAATTTGTGTACCTTACCTGATAGCATTTGTAACCTTACTTGCCTACAGAAATTGTCTCTATCAGGCTGCAATGTATCATATCTACCTAATGAAATCGAGAGGTTGAGCTTACTAATAGATCTGGATCTTGAAGGAAACAATTTGTGCATCTTGCCGGATAGCATCTGTAACCTTACTTGGAATATTTGTCTCTTTCGAGCTGCAATCTACCACATTTGCCAAGCGAAATCGGGAGGCTGAGCTCATTAAAATATTTGAATCTTGATGGAAACAATTTGTGTACCTTACGGGAGAGCTTCTACAACCTTACTCGTTTGGGACGACTGGATATGGCAAACTGCAATGTGTCACATTTGCCTAGTGAAATTTGAAGGTTGCAATCATTAGAAACGTGGCATCTAGGCGGAAACAATTTATGTGGCTTACCAGATGGCATCAGTAATATTACTCAATTATTATACCTCTACTTGGATAAAAGTGCAAGGCTGCAATCGCTTCCTAAACTTCTTCTGAGTTTATCTAATTTGTATGCGGAGGATTATGCTTTGTTAGAGAACATTGAATTAAAAGGGGCAGTTCGAACGAACATGTTCCTTTATGGTTGCCATAAATTAGCTGGGAACAATTTTGCAAATGAATTCGTAAAGGTATTCACTGAGCATAAGGTAATCACTCTCTCTCATTGGTATAATAAATCTTACATAAAGAACAATAGTGAATCCATGCTTATTTTGAATTAATATATTGTTAATATCTCATTCATTTTGTTGGTGAAAATACCAGAAAAAATTATATTTTATTAATAAATGATGCAAAGAAAATGAGATACAAATAGATTAGGCTGAGGCACGGATATCAAGTTTTCTTTAAGGAGATCAAGCCCACTGCGGTAGGAAGAATCCAAATACCAATGCAGCAGTCACAAAACTATGACTTGTCCCCTCCAAGATACAACAGCCCGACCACTTGTCGTATGGTTCAGGCAAACTCTGCACAAGATGGTGAGCCCAAAGCTCCACCAAGAAAAACACCATTCTTTGCTAGTAATCTCTCTTGTATAAAAAATAGTTGATGTATATATATAGAAAAGAGTAGATGAGAGGAACTATTTATAGGCCATTAGGACCTTACAGTTACACCAAAATAATGACCATTAACTAAGATGAGAGGTTACCAAAAATAATGACCATTAACGAAGATGAGAGGTTACCAAAGTAATGAAACCCCATTTATGACCAAGATATATAAATAAATAAATAAAAGATATTAAAATGGTCCAACAATTCCCCACTCATTTTAATATCAACAAGGATAATAGAGATTACCAAACAAAGATAGATTAGTATGCATCATGAAGGTGTGCTCTGCATTGAACCTTCATTAGTGAAACAGCAACCTCTACTCCAGAGTCAGTAGTGGTCTCAGACTTGAACTATGACTGCTTAGGGGAAATAAAGAATTACTGCTCACACATAATAATCCAGGTGTTGACATGAGCTTTAATAGCTAGCACATTACGGCCTTGTGCTAATCCCAGTTTTCATGAGCATATTTGAAAATAAGCCTTGTTCTCATAGAAAGCGGCCCCACTTTCATGCTCACATAGGTGAAATATGTCAAGGATGTTCCTGTAATTTACACACCCCACTCAACAAGAGCTACAGAATTTCATTAAGAGTATAAAAACTCAACCCTCCAACATTACAGGACAAATGCACTTACATCATAGGGATGGATAACAAAATATTAAAAAGTGCATTTTTTACAACTACCATATGATTCGTTCTTCCCATTGAACCTAGTTACAGGATCTCTGGTCCCTAGGTTGGGTATCCTCATACATGGTTTATGATTTTATAGGCTTCAAACCCATCCCCCTCGATGTATTCCAAACCCTATCTCTCGCTAAGGCCTTGGTTAACGGATCCGCAAGATTATCACAAAATCTTACATAATTCACAATTATGATGCCATTACTCAAATAGGATCTCACATTACTGTGTTTCCTTCGAATAGGTCTGGATTTACCATTATAAAAATGATTGTTCACTCTACCAATAGCAGCAGTGCTATCACAATGAATTAACACAGGAGGAATTGGTTTTTCCTAAAAAGGAATTCATGTAACAAATCTCTCAACCAATTTGCTTCCTCATATGCAGAAGCTAACGCTATAAGCTCAGCTTCCATTGTAGAATTAGCAATTATAGTCTGTTTTTTAGACTTCCAACATATAGCACCACCACCCAAGGTAAAAATAAAACCTGAGGTAGAGAGAGAATCACCTGACAAAGTATTCCAATCAGCATCACTATATCCCTCAAGTATCGCGGGAAACTTGTTATAAAGCAAACCATAACTTTTGGTTCCAGATAAATATCTCATAATTCTTCCCATGGATAGCCAATGATCTCGACTTGGCTTGCTAGTAAACCTGCTAAGTACTCCAAAAGCATATGCAATGTCAGGTCTAGTACAGTCAGTAGCATATCTCAAACTACCAATCATGCTAGCATATTCCTTTTGATTAATCACTTCTTTTTCATTTTTTACAACAGATAAATGTATGCTTGCATCAAAAGGAGTAGCAACATGTTTACAGTCTAGAAAATTATATTTCTTTAACATTTTCTCAACATAATGCGACTGATCAAGAAAAATACCATCATTAGTCTTGGTAATTTTAATTCCCAAAATAAAATTGGCTTCACCAAGATCTTTCATATCAAAGTGGCTATTGAGCATATTTTTAGTCTCATTTATAATATGCAAATTAGAGCCAAAGATAAGTAGATCATCCACATATAGGCTAATAATCACATGTGCATTTTCACAAGTTTTATAATATATGCACTTATCACATTCACTCGTCTTATAGCCATTCTCAAGCATGTAAGAATCAAATTTCTCATGCCACTGTTTAGGAGCTTGTTTTAAACCATAAAGGGATTTAGTTAGCTTACACACCTTGCTTTCTTGGCCAAGCTCCACAAAGCTTTCGGGTTGGTCCATGTAAATCTCCTCATCTAGATCTCCATTTAAAAATGTTGTCTTTATATCCATTTGATGAATTTTTAAATCATGAATTGAAACCACTGCTATCAACAGTCTAATGGATGTAACTCTAGTAACCGGAGAAAAAGTATCAAAGAAATCAAGATCAACTTGTTGCTTAAAACCTTTAGCGACAAGCCTCGC